AGTCCACCGAACTACCACTAACTTATTCTACTCTCCTATTCTACATTCTGTTCCACAATTAAATTGTAACTTCAAACACTACATACATGTTAGAATTCTATTATTTATATAAGTCTTAGGTTAATAAAATTATTGCTTATATTTCTCATTATCCTAACATTAAATATATACACCCAAATTTAAGAAAGAATCACTACAATTATATTTCTCATGTTTCTGGCATAATGCTCACAAATAAATAATTAGTTTACACAAATTAAAAAATACAATCATGTAAAACAATACAAATAGCCAGCACTAACACCCACCACATAAGCACCATGCAAAATTATGAACTACAGATTTTTGTCGAAAAATTCAACAATACGAAATTTTGCTAAAATAAAATTGCGTAGTTTACCGAAATAAGATATCCGGGGTCATAATAGCTGTCCACTCAATGTTCGGCCCACAATGTACGCGTTATAAGAAAACGGTGGACAACTATTACAACTGTTGATGTATCTCAAGAATCTTCTCTCGGAAAACAGATTCACAACTCTGTTGATCGTTCGAAGCCGGTAAAGCAAATAAAAATCTCTAAAAAGTGAATCAAGCGTAGCAGCTCTAGGTCTTTGTATCGCGCCGCTTGATTGAGTCGACAGAAATTATGGTTTTCCCAGTGATTAGCGTACCTGATACGACGAGAGCTTCGTTTGGACCACAGGTGTGAACGTTTCCCATTGTCGGATCAACTTTTTCTTAACGAAGAAGCAACAACAAACCGGCACTAGCAAACAACCACCACTAACACGATCACCACTGACACTGATTACTATGGACAAACCGGCAGTCGAGTTACGTGAATTATTTCAAAAACCCCGGTAAATTATTAATAACACATAAACCGTGTCAACCACACGTCGTAAGGTTACGAAGCTACTCAAAGCCACTACCCAAAATTATTTGTAGCTTTTGCAAAACCCTAGCTTACGAGCGCTGCCAACCTACGCGCTCTCGCTCGCAGCGACATCATGGAACGAAACATCACCAAACATCAAGGCCTGTGGATAGAAAGATTGTCTGATAACCTCCGACCAATTAGAGGCCAGCAAATAAACGCGGGAATGATATCATTCAGAATATCAGTTTCAAATGATACGAACTACATATTACTAATATTATCGAAAGTATCGTTACTTTCAGTCTAACAACACGTATCTGATAAAATAAAGATTTTAAAAGGAAGTAGAGGAACTAATTATTTCAGGGCGGCTTTATATTTTCATCGCTAATTATCGTACATTCAATTAAATATAAATGTAGGTAGTCTGACAATTCGTTCAAGTGAAATAAATTACATCGCAAACATGAAGAGTTTATGTGTGTTTAGTTATAGTGTGTTTGTTATATATTCATATTTATCCGTGTTTAGTTAAGTGCATTAGCGAAGTTCATATTTCAGTTTTTATTTAATATCGATATTTATAATGGAAGTTTTTCACAGAAATAAAGATCTATTTAATATTTTAAGAATTGTAAATAAAGACTTGGGTGATTGCCTATTTATAAATGAAGGTACGCCAGGTGCTGAACATTTTACCAGAAAATTCTGGCAAGGCTAGATCAAAAACATTTTGTTACAAATTGTTTTCCATTTCGAACAACCACAAACAACCACAAATTTTCCATTTTCCATTTTCGGCTATCGACACATATAGTATCACACAAAATTGAATGGACATTCTTCAAATCGCAATATGTATCTCTTTGAAAGCTTGGACTAAATGACTAGAATTTTTTTTAAAATAATGGTAGGTTTTTAATTGATCGATCTTTAAATGTTTACAGCTTACATTTATATAAGCTATTAATACAACGCATTTATAGGCTCAGATAAAAAGTTAGAAAGCAGGAGTTTTTTATTTTTTGTTGTCATTTCAAGTAATAGCAAAATTTAAAGGAAGCATTTTGGTCATCGTCTGGTAGACTAGTCCCGCTATCATCTGAAAAAATTCAGGTCCCTTAGACCAGTTTTAAAAAAGTTATTGCGTTTTAAAAGGCGTTCAAATACTTTTGTGAGCTACTATACATATACATATTATATTATCCTTTTACGGACGAGAGGCGACTCTCGGTCGCCACAGCGTTTCGCGTGGCAGGATAAGTGACGAGTGAGAGGTGACAGTCGATGTTTATGTTAGATTTCGTTATCTCCAACCAAGAAGAACGCACTATTGATTCTTGGGAAGGTTCCTTGCTGTTATTATTATTTTATACGAAGTGTAAAAAGACACATTAGATCAGAGATAAAATAAATAAATAATAAATATTAATTAATAAAAGGTTCTCTTCTAAGACTGCGGCTCTGACATTGGCTCGAGCATCAGTTGAGACTTGGCGATCGTGGCAAAAGCATTAGAAGAATTTGTGTAGAGTGATTTTTTTGAATCCCGACAAAAATGGATTTCACAAACGAACTCAGCTCTAGTGAAGACGAATTTTGTTTTGATACGGTTCAAGACGAAATCGAATGTATTCATAAAGAAATTAGTGGAATACAAGGTGAAACAAGCGATGAAGATGATGACAGAGTACTGGGTGTAAGAACTCGAAAAATCAGAGTAATAGATAGCTAATCGGAAAGTGATAGTGATGCCCCACAAACCTCTGATAAATCACAATGGACAAACTGTGATGGGTGCCGTGAAATACCACCCAGAATAAAATTCAAACTGGGCGAAATATCTGCAGGGCCACAAGTATCTTCCAATGTCAAAGAACCTTTGGATTTTTTTAAAGATGTTCATTACCGACGAGCTAGTCGATCAAATAATAGTAAATACCAACAACTATGCTGCAAAAAAGTTAGAGGGAAGGGCGCTGTCATCACGGTCGCTCTGGCAAACATGGTCCAACGTCACAAAAGAAAAATTTTGGGCATTTATTGCAATGATTATAAATATATATATAGGAATAATACCATTGGGAAATATGAAAGAATATTGGTCAACAGACCCAATAAGCCACATTCCATTTTTTGCTAACACCTTTACAAGATATCGATTTACCCAAATTTTTTGGATGTTACATGTACATATAAACTCAAGACTTCTGGATTATTTCACACCCAACGAAGAAATTTGTGTCGATGAATCTGTCGTAAAATTCAAAGGACGACTTTCATTTATTGCATATAACCCGCAGAAACCGACTAAATGGGGCATCTGAATTTACACACTGACAGATTCAAATACGGGTTATATTTGCGGAATTTTACCTTACTATGGCAGCCTTACAATAGAAACATTGACAGGACCGGACCTCCCAGTATCGATAAGAATCCCCTTACACTTATATGTATAAAATGATACTGACTAAAATTCCAGGTGCGCAGGGGTACCACATGTTTACGGATTGGTATTACGCTAGCTACTTTTTAACTAATGAATTACACAAAATGAAGTGTCATTTGACAGGGACGATACTAACAAATAGAAAAGAATTGCCAGATTCAATAAAAAAAGGACAACTTCCAAAGGGAAAATCCATAGTAGCGTACCGTAGAAACAATAATGTAATTTTGGCGTGGAAAGATAAAAAGATCGCCACGATATTGACAAATTATTACAACGCAGAAATGAGTAACGTTGACCGAATACTCCGGCATGGTGTTCAAACCGTGGTTAGAAAACCCAATGCTGTTATAAATTATACCAAATTCATGGACGGCGTTGATCTGATAGATCAATATTGTTCAAGGTACTGTTTTATGAGATAGTCCCTGAAGTGGTGGCACAAATTATTTTTCTGGGGACTGGAAATTTGTTTAATCAATTCGTACATTCTCTACAAACATGTAAAAAGGCAGAGAAACGAACAGCCAGTTACACATTTGAACTTTCGCAAAATTTTGATCAACAAATTGAGAGGATATTTTCGTCAACCACGAGATAGAGCTTCAAGTTCGACGTCCAACTTAGACGAAATTCGTCTAAACGGGAAACTGCATGTAATAACAATTACAGTAACAACTGGCATGAAGAAAGATTGCAAAGTTTGTTCCAGTCGAAACAAACCAGGAGGAAGACGTGAGACGAACTATTTCTGTGATACATACCAAATAAACCAAGAATGCATCTTGGTCAATGTTTTATAAACTGTCACATCAAACGAAACTACAAATCATGATTTTTGTAAAATTATATTCATAACAGTGTGAATATAGATAAACTTATGAAATATAACGTTTTTGTAAGATAATATTTATATGTAAGATCATTTTATTGTACCATATGAGACACTCGACATATTTGCAAAAATCGCCTTGTCCTGCTACCTGACCCGACCAAAAAAGTCGTCATTCGCAAAGGGTTATATTCTATAACTCGTCCAGCCACAGAGTTCGGTCTCTCTCTCTCTCTCTCTCATCAGAGAGAAGTGCTTACCCGATGTGACGTTCACCTTGTCCTGTGATTCCACATACAGTAATTTCTGCCGGAAAGATCGTTTCTACTACATTATGATTTAAATATTCCCGCGTTTTTCCCGGCAAGAATTCTGACAAAAGGTTCATCTCTATAAGACTATAGTTTCAAGTTTTCTGTAATTTAAAGTGGCAGCAGTAACTAGACAACGTCAGTGAAATGCTTTGAGTATACGCTTCTGAATATAAGAAAACATAACCTCTAAGGTTTATTAAGTTTTTTAAATATTATCGTTGTTTTATTTATGCTACACATGACACTTTTTATGTTAAGACAGTAAACAGCATTCAGAACGTATTGTAGAGATCAAGAATCATTATCACAATGTCGGAAGACGAAGTAGAAAGTTTTGAAATAACAGACTACGATCTTGAAAATGAATTTAATATTAATCGTCCTAGACGGAAATTATCCAAGAAGCAACAAATGCTTGGTACGATTTTCTACTTTAATAATTCACCTGCTGTGAAGAAATATTTCTCTAATCATTTTGAATGATAATTTCACATCCTAACCAAAACTGTTTTGCTTCAGGTATTTGGGCAGATGATAGCGACGAAGAAGAATTATCTGCCAGACCATCGTTTAAAACTTTTGATAAAGGACCAAAGAATTATACAGCTCCTGTTAATTTCGTGGCAGGTGGTATTCAACAAGCAGGAAAACCAAAAGAAGAGGAGGAGAAAGACGAAGATGATAGTGATAATGAAAATACAAGTAAATCGCAGAGAGAATATCCAAATAGCTCTAGGTATTTGACTCTTTTTTGATTTGTTAATCAGTATACTCTTTCATAGTTTCATTCCAATCAATATACCCTATATTTGCAATTTAATTCAACTAATGTAGCATTAACTATCTTCTATTTTCATTATTATAGTTCTGAAGATGAACGACCAAGCATGGCACCGTTACGTGCAACCTTTTCTATGAATACCGATGGAGACATCGCTGGCTTACGTAGGAAAAAAAGTAAAGTGAATCCCCTGCTCATGCAAAGCGGAATGGGTAGTTGGGAAGTTCATACGAAAGGTATTGGAGCAAAACTACTATTACAGGTACGTATATAAAACTCTTTACTATTTCTGGTTTGTATTACAAAGATATGTATAACATATTTTGTTTATATTTCAGATGGGTTTCGAACCTGGCAAAGGATTGGGTAAGCAATTGCAAGGTATAAGTGCTCCAGTGGAAGTACATCTGAGAAAAGGGAGAGGTGCCATCGGTGCTTATGGTCCAGAAAAATGTCCAAAAGTGCCAGAAAAGAAAAAGGAAGATGATTTAGAGGAAGGGAAAGATTCTAAGGGCAAGCTATCACAGTGGCGAAAAGGAGACAGTAGTGCAACAAAGAAGAAAGTGAAATATGTTTATCGAAGTGTAGATCAGGTTTTGGAAGATGGAAAATTGAAACCTAATAAGAAAGTGAGGGTATCGAATGAAATGAGTAGAGTTAAGGTTATAGACATGACTGGTCCAGAACAAAGAATCCTTAGTGGATATCACGCAATAGCTGGAGGTCAGCAGAGACCCGATGAAAACGTTGTAATTACTGACAAGAAATCCAAAGTTAATTTTGCTCTACCAGAGCTTCAGCATAATTTGAATATACTTGTAGATATGTGTGAACAAGATATTATACAAAACGATAGACGCACAAGGCATTTGAGTGATAGAGTGGTTGCATTGGAAGCAGAAAAGAAAAGTATATCGAAAGTTATAGATCATCACGGTCAACTCATCGATACTTTAGAAAATGTGTTAGAAATTGTAGACAGGTTAATGGATGAAACCAATCAGTTGTCTTTACAAGAAACTGCCGAAGCCTTCAAAGATTTGCAAGATAAGTACTACGAGGAATATAAATTGTACGAGCTTGGCGAATTGGCCAGTAGTTTTGTCGGTCCCAAGATAAAGGATTGCTTAGCCAGTTGGAATCCCACAATGCAACCAAAGCAACCTATCAAATTGTTTGAACAGTGGAAGAGTATTCTGGAAAGTGGTACCACTACGCTTCAAACAAGAACTATGCATCCATATGATCAACTAGTTTGGAACGCATGGATGCCATCGATTAGAGGCGCCATTCAGTAAGTTCCATTTCATTATTATACATAAATAAAAGTAAAATCGAAGTTGTTACATTTATTAATTTTGATTTCAGGCAGTGGGCTTGTAGACAGCCAGATCCGCTTATTGAATTAATAGAAATATGGATGCCGTTGCTACCAGGTTGGATACTGGAAAATATTTTAGATTTATTGATTCTTCCAAAGCTTACTTTGGAAGTGGAAGAATGGAATCCTCTTACAGACACTGTGCCTATCCACACGTGGATTCATCCTTGGCTACCATTATTACGTAAGTATTCATGTTAGATTAATTACATTGTCAAACAAATTTTAACCGATTTTTTACGATACAATGACTAGTAGAAATTCAAAATTAATGTTGAGAAATGCCACTTTATTGTTCTAGGGAACCGTTTGGACACCTTAATATATCCAATAATCCGCCGTAAACTGGGTTCTGCATTAGGTGGTTGGCATCCATCCGACAGATCTGCAAGATTAATGCTGCAACCATGGGCCAACGTCTTTGCAAAGGGAGATATGGAAGCCTTCCTAGTTAAGAATATAATTCCAAAACTGCAAATAGCGCTCTCAGAGTTCGTCATAAACCCGCACCAGCAACACTTGGATCAGTGGAACTGGGTATACGAGTGGAAAGAACTGATTCCAACTCATATAATGGCCAGCTTAATGGACAAGTTCTTCTTCCCGAAATGGTTACAAGTTTTGGCCTTATGGTTGAATCATTCCCCCAACTATGATCAAGTCACAAACTGGTACATGGGTTGGAAAGGCATGCTAAGTGAGAAAATGCTCTCGGAACCACTAGTAAAAGGTATGTTCGGCGTGCAATCGGCTTAGATATATACAACATTACGTAAACTATAATATTACCGATTTATTTTACAGAGCATTTCAAGAAAGCGTTGGACTTGATGAATAGAGCAGTCAGCGGGCCACAGAGTCACCAACCGGGAGCAATGGAGCAAGTTTCGTATCTGACAAGCTTAGAAAGAACTCAACCCACAATGTCGCAGATGCCAGCAAATGCTCAGCCAAGGATGGAGGTGCGATTCCATTATATACTTTATTACAGATTTTATGATAATATTTACTTTTAAATTTTTAAATTTACTTTTAAATTTTACGGTGATATATATTTTTGCAAATTTCACAACCTTACATATTATTGCAGAGGCTCGCAGAGGCAGTGAGAACAGCATCGCAAATTCCTCAAGGCTTCAAGGACCTCGTGCAGAAGAAGTGCGAGGAAAGAGGCATCCTATTCATGCCAATACCAAATCGCTACAGAGAAGCGAAACAAGTATACAAAGTGGGCAACGTGCAAGCCTACATAGACGGCAACGTCTTATTCGTGTGCCACAACGGCATGAATTGGCTGCCGACGCATTTAAACGCACTGTTAGATATGTCTGAACTTTAGGCACAATCGAATTCTAGGTCTAGAAAGTAGTTAGCATACATGTAATTATTTATTGTATCTATATTGTAAAGTATTCTGTAAGAAACATTGAAAGTTGCATTATGTACATTGCACATAGTTTGTAAAACGATTGACATGTTTTGTACGGTCCATGCTGTATAATAAATTATTATACCAGCATACTACTACTTGCGTTTACTTTCATAAATATCGTGTACTGTCGAGGCAGCCGTAAATAATGAGTTAGAACGTTCACAGAATTTTTAGTGGAACTGTAGAAATTTACTCGTTCGTCGCAAGTTCTTTATATAGTGTTCCGTGTATATTATGCTAGCAACATGTATCGAGGCGGTCGATCTGAAGCGTTGCTATTTATTCCATCCGAGAGAGGAACATCTCTTTTCTTGGATGGTACTCCCAGCATTCACGCTTCACGAATGCAGCCCCGTACTCGCGGATGTTTGTCTTATTGACCACTTCGAGTTGAAGTGGTCGAAGTCGAACGCGTGTAGGCGCCCCTGGTTATCCCACTACCGAGAGCCACAGCTATAAAACTCCTCGATATGGAAAGTTGCACGTAATCCCGCAGAGTTGTACGTATGTACCTACAGAGTCGTCCAATAGGCACCGTGTATCAACCACCACGGTGTATGCCGGAGCTGTGCGACGGCCATGGGCGCCACCATGGTCGAACCGAATGTCTCTTCATATTATAATATGTAATAGCAATAATTTATATTATCGTCGAAAAATAATTACTTACCATTTGTCATTTGTACTGTTCACAGGACAAATCAACTAACTCTAGTGTTTTTAAATTTGCTTCCAAATTTTATTGTCAAAGCAGTTACCAAAACTGCTTTCATGTTTCGAAAAAGCTTCCCTGATATTGGGCTCAACACCGCGAAATAAAAAGTTTCATGTAAAATTTGTAATATAAATTATATGTGACGCTGATTATATGTTTTACAGAAAATTTTAAAAAATAATGCATGATATTTGAACATCTATTCCTTCTCTTGTGGAGTTAATCGATTTGACAAGAGTGCAGTGCAGTTAATGCAATATCTTAAATCAAAGATATTATAATTTGGATGTCTTTGTATAAATTTCTGTGATAGTAATATCTATATTTGTCTTAATCGTGGAAATTTTTAATATCACAACAGCAGAAGTTCACAATAGAAATTACTATACTATTATTAATTAAATTTCGAGTTTTCTACAAATTTTTGTATATTACTGCAATATAATATGGCACACGTTCTTTAAGGACACCAATACATCGTCAATTTTATTGATATATACAATAAAAAAAATGTATTTGTGAATAAACGTGAAATTTTAATATCAAAATAAAATGAAAAGGTTATTCTGTCACAAAAAAGAAAATAAATTACATCCTGTGCATATAGGTCATATAATGCAGATTGATCGGGCGAGATGCATATGATTTAGTATGTAACTGTGAGGCGTGAACGTTTTGTTGCTTTCGCAGCACCAGGTCATTACAGCTTACGGTTTTCTTTTTCCAATGACCTCCATGGTATTAACTGAAGGTTGAATTAAATTGATTTGGTAAAAATCGCATAATTTTTCAATCAAAATAATGAATTTATCACAGCAATTTAATATGATACAACAAAAAGCTAAAAATTGGGATTTGTTTTACGAGATTGAATCATCTTATCTGGACGACCATCTTAGCTGGAACTGCTACATATGTGTTTTACACTATACTTGATTTCTACATTTTCAAAGCTAAAAGTACACTTCCGTCAATTAAATGTAATTTCTTTACATTACTTTAATTTATGAATTTACGAATAGAAATGTTACTATTTGCTTTCATTTTATATTAAATTAGTTTGTACATAATAGGAAATTAGACAATGCAATATTTTTTCGACTCATTGTTGAAATATTTCAATATATCATTGCAATTAAAAATGTAATTTTTTCTCCGTCGTATGTCAAATTGATTTGTGCATACTGTTAACTAGATTTCTGCAAATATATCAATATATCAGTGGCTTATTGAATATATCAATGGTTTGTCGCAACATGTGAGTATATTATTAAAATTGAAAGTTCGATTCGTTTCTCAGGCCTCATTATTTAATGATTTACAGATTTCAGTATTTGCACGCTCAAAACGAAGATTATTTTTTAACTTCCTCAACACATTT